AAATAAGTACACTGTCATCAGTAGACGACGACAACAGCAGTAGACGACAACAACAGTAGACGACGTGCCAGCAGCCGAAAAAATTCACAACGTTGCCAGACGCTCTCCCTCCCCTTGCCTCTCTGAGATTTCCCCCCGCTAACACTACTGAACCTCCTTAATATCCGTTGTAAATTGAGCGATATATGACAATTGACGCTGCTGGCGGGGCGGCGCCTTCTCTGATTTCTGTTTAAACGCGTAAATCAATGGTTTGTGATCGGTCCAAATGGCGAATTCACAAGCCTCCAGCAAGTATGGAAAATATCTTATAGCCTCATAAATTGCAAACAACTCTCGATCGTAAGTACTATATTTACATTGTGCGGGCTTCATCCTTCATTTTTCTACTAAAAAATGCTAGGTGCTCCCAAATACCTTCTACAGACTCTTGCTCGATCACCGTGCCTATCGCTGTATTCGATGCATCTGTAACAAGTCTAATGTTATCGCCCAGGCGGGGGTGTACCAACAACGCTGCCCGTGCCAAATCCGCCTTTATCCGCTCAAATGCCAACTCGGCTTCCGGAGTCCAAACGATTATGCGGTTATCATTTTTTTTTGATTCCCGAAAATACGCGTTAAGCGGAGCCTGTACCTCGGCTGCACTTGGTATATTCCTATGATAAAAGTTGACGAGGCCCAAGAAACGGCGCAATTCTTTTATAACATTAGGCTTCGGAAACTTCACGATTGCCTTGACCTTTTCTGCGGTTGGACGCATTCCTTTTGCATCAATTGTATAACCAAAAAACACTAGTTCTTCCACTGCGAATATGCATTTATTAACATTTATTTGTAAGTTATATTTTTTTAGTCTTTTAAATACGGTTTTTAGATGCTCCCAATGTTCTTCCAGAGTATTCGATGCGATCAGAAAATCGTCTACGTATGCGAATATAAAATCTAAATCACCAAAAATACCGTTTATAAACCGTTGAAAAGATTGTCCCGCATTTCGCAGTCCGAACGTAGTGCCCAAATATTCAAACAATCCGA